GTGAGTTCGACTTTAGATGTCGTTCGGATTGTACGATTGCCCCATAACAATAGTTTAGTGCGACATGCATGTTAATGATTTTGTTTTTGGTCCACTATGCTATTACATTACAGGCATCCATTTTCAATCACTTCAGCACCAGGAGATGATTACCTCAACATCCACATCCGCACACTGGGAGATTGGACAGGGCAGCTCAAATCCGTCTTTGCCGAGGTAAATTACTAATCTATTCTTATCCAGTTTATTAGCTTAATGACACGTTGTCAATGTAGTAACCTTCCATGATCACTCTGTTTTCAATTCCTCTACTTCAGGTTTGCCAACCACAATCCGCAAATCAAAGCGGGCTCTTGAGATCCGACCCATCATCATCCAGGCCCAGAATGCCCAAACTCCTTTTAGACGGGCCGTACGGGGCCCCGGCCCAAGACTACAAAAACTACGACGTCCTTCTCCTAATAGGATTAGGAATCGGCGCCACCCCTTTAATCAGCATCGTCAAGGACGTCCTCAACAACATCAAGCAGGGGAAAGAAATCGAAGAAGGAGGAGCAATGGAGAACAGTGGCCACAAAAGGAATCAACCTTTCGCGACTCAAAAGGCTTACTTTTATTGGGTGACACGAGAGCAGGGCTCGTTCGAGTGGTTCCGCGGTGTGATGAACGAGGTGGCAGATCACGACCATGACAAGGTGATCGAGCTCCACAACTACTGCACCAGCGTGTACGAGGAAGGGGACGCGCGCTCCGCTCTGATCACGATGTTGCAGTCGATCCAGCACGCCAAGAGCGGGGTGGATGTGGTCTCGGAGACTAGGGTGAAGACCCATTTCGCCCGGCCCGACTGGAGGAAGGTGTTCAAGCGGGTCGCCATGAACCATCCAGACCAGAGAGTCGGTGAGTGGTAGTAACTTTTTTTTTGTTAATCTGATTCGATCCAATCCTAAGGCTCAATTTTTACTTTCTTATTTTTTTATTGTGGGTGGGTTAATTTGACAGGGGTGTTTTATTGCGGGGCGCCTGGATTGACTGGAGAGTTGAGGAAATGGGCTCGAGAATTTTCCAGGAAGACGTCTACCAAGTTTGATTTCCATAAGGAGAACTTTTAGTTACTAAGAGGGTCGATGTGTCTTGCAATCCCTAATTCTAGTGCTACATATTCTTTCTATTTGTGAAGTGTTGTTGAATGTATGGTATCATATTAGTTTATTTTTCTCCATTTTCATTACTACGTTTGTGATTGAAAAATAGTGAAGCAAAAGATTGTTTTTATATATGCTATTATGATCCTAAGCTCCTGTTTACCGTTATAAGCGTGAGTTAATGGTAAAGACGTTGATTTGAGAAAATAATATATTTTGTTTAGATTTTACTTGTCATTATTGTAGATAATATCACATATGTGACGTATCATACAAAATTGTGTGAGCTGAATCCCCTAATGAAATCATGATTGAGTCAACGATTATGATAATCAGTGTTTTATTTAACCTTTTAGGAAAGCTCTTTCATCATAAGGTGACGGCGACTCGACGAGTAGGATTTTGTTCCCCTATTTTGCTTGTGCATATATAAGAACTAAATAGCTCCTTTTTGAACACTTTGGGAACTAGTATGGAACTATGACATATGTTTATTTGAGTGTTATGTGGAAATAAAGGATTGTTTGCTTATTGGTGAGTTTAGAGTTTTTGAATTTTATTATTTTAATGAATTTATTACGTTATGGATTTGAAAGGGTTTATTATTTGTTTAGTCGATTTTTATCATGGATTTATACCTTTTTGCACCATGTCGCCCACAAATTTTTCTTCCATCAACCAAATCTCAAATAAAATTGGGATTTGCAATTCTATAGATCTCAAGGATTTGTGTTCCAATTTTTACCCCAACAAACAATTAAACTTATATATATAATTTAAGGTTTAAATATATAATGTTCTCATTGCATTCATCATCAACTATATTCGTAATATACAACATATTTTGTTGTTCTGTTTTGCAATTTTGATTATGTGTTAAAGGCTAGTTTTTATGCTTGTGATAGACTTTTGTATTTTCTTGTATGGGCTTTTTGTTTGTATTTTTTTGCATTGTTCTTTCCTTTGCTTTCACATGTAACACCCTAACCAGGCCGGTACTACTTTTACTAATATGCCCTTGATAAATAAAATACTCAAATCTTAAATTGCAGTGGGAAAAATTTTACTAAATAAAATACTGAAAACACACTTGTAGTTCAAAGCGCCCTAACACATGGGCAAACTCAATACTTAAAATCGCAAAATGATCTCCAGTCTATACTCATAATCATAAATGTAATGACTAATATTCTCTAATGTTATTGCTACTGAAAACCTTAACTAAGCATCCTCCGTGACGCTTATACTGCTCTCCTCTAGCTGGCTGCCCTCGAACTCGCTGCTCACTAACTGCTCCTCTAGCTCCTCTAGCTCTTCAAACTGGTGAGTGAGATGGGGTCATTCTACGCCCTTACGTTTTAAAAATCTAGTACTTGAGTATTTTACTTCAAATACTTAACTTAAACTGGTGGGAGTTGTTCGTACTTCCACTCTTAAAACTCCTAACTCTTAAAACTGTATGGGAGTTACTGTTACTCTCCATTCTTAAAGCGCAAAACTCGACTTAAATACTTGACTGACACGGGGATCCCTCACTAGCTAGTCTGGTTGCCAACTCATACGTATGAGAAGCCATCAAGGCTTTCCTTAAACTTATCGTGGAAGGCTCTTCTTCCACGATTCTCAAGAGCATAACTACTGCTCATCTTAAAAATTTCAAGAGCACAACTGTTGCTCTGTCTCAAAGATCTCAAAAGCATAACTACTACTCTATCTGAAAAACTCAAGAGCATAACAGCTGCTCTATCTAAAAAACTCAAATGGCAACGGACTGGCGCTAGCGACTAAAAACACTTAAAACGACTTCACCTTCTTGAAGGTGAAGTACTTCTTAAAACAAAAGGACTTGTTCTTAACTTTAACAATCACTCATAAACGTAAAGCTTTAAAGCAAACATCACACATTCACTATAAACCACTACTCAAACAAGCACATATCATCAATCATGAGCATTAACAACCATAGCAACACTTCACAAAAATACTGAAACTCTAATACTTGAAAGAATAAGTAAGGCGTAGAATTTACCCTCTTTACACTCACTTGGCTATATAGTTAAAATCCATCGGCTTCATGAACTAGGTATTCTAAAAGGTGTCATGGAAAAGCTTAGCATTTATTCGACGTTGCTCCCCCATCAACTCCATTCGTCTCAGTCGTCAAAAATCAACCACAACAAATTGCCCAAGCCATGTTAAAGCACCTCCCACATATGTACATATTCACTTAACCATTTCACTTGTTATTCCTCTACGAACTAACTAAATGCGGGTAGTGTAGGTAACTTACCCAAAACCATTCGCCTTCAATTTCCGGTTCCCCGTAATGTATCTCCAGAGATGGTCGCCGTTACTTCCCAGGTGTGGTTGCCGGTAACAATTGTGATTTCCCAGGTGTGGTCGCCGCTACTTCCAAATTGATCCTCTCTCACTGTCCGCTCACCCCAATTGACTCATTGTTCCGCCCCTCCGCCGCCCATCTCGACCGCCCTGGCCCGCTACTCAATCGCCTCCTTGTCTCGCCTCCTACTTGCTTAAGCAGGAAGCTGTCATAGTAGAGGGGTGTGTCGAGAGATTAATCGAGGCTCTGTGATGAGTCCGGCGAGGCGAGGCACGAGATGACCAGCGAGGCTCAGAGATGAGTCCGGCGTGGCGAGGCACGAGATTACCGTCCAACACAGTCGGCCCTCATCCTGATTCCCTCTCGACCTGCCTTCATGCTTGCTTAAGCACACAGGTATTCTAGTGGAAGAGATAATCCGAGCGAACGGTTACGTGGGGACGGGGAGGAAGAGTTTGGGCGGCCGCTTCGGCCTCATGGGGGGAATCGGATTAGGTTTGGCTTAACTTTTAATTAGCTCAGAAGGGTATTTTTGGCATTTTGTAAATCACGGGTGAGTTTAACCCGAAACTCAACTATCGCCCGTAGCTTACTCGATTTATGTCGTTGAACTGAGAGTTCGTATTTTTAGTCCTCATCGATATTACGATGAAATTTGACAAATTTCCCCGAGGGTATGATAGTCATTTTGACTTGGCAAGATCAAGGTGTAACATTTCCTCCACCCTTATAAAAAATTTCCCCAAAATTTAGACTGTGCTAGACACCTTGCATTTGATAGTGTTTGCCTCGACTGAGATATCACATTTCCCCCCTCCTTAAGAAAAATTTTGACCTCAAAATTTGTTCTTCGCGACAACCTAAGGTCTCACTTGAGGAAATCCTTCTACTACTGGGATGTATACTTCCTTTCCCGGTATGACCTTGAGCTATGAACCCTTTCCTCCAATTCGTGTGGTTCTTGGCCAACTAATTACTCACCCAATTTTCATAAATCTCTTGCTCAAGCTAGTTACTTGCTCAATGCGTCTATGGCACTATGGCACTCTCCCTTCTTAAATGCCTTTGATGCTGTAATGGCTTCGTAGCTCATATTGTTCTCAACTATTTGTCTTGGGTCTCTACTTAGGATTCCTTAAGAACTTAAAGGAAATAAATTATTAGCCTGCCCTATTCAAATCATGACTCGTCGTAACTTCAGCTCATAACAGGCACAGACCTTGAACTTCATCCTCCCTATCTTGACTGCTGACGACTCTCCTTGGTATAGAATGTTTGACCTGCTTAATGATTAACTCTGATGCTGGTTCCTAGGTATCGCTTCTTCTCCCTTTATAGGCGTCGTTATTCTCCTCTTTGATAATTCCACTTGATACGCACTCTTGATGCCTGATTCACCATATATGGTGCCTTTAGCATGAGAAAATCACTTACATATCCCTATTGGTGTTCTTAATACCCCTTTCAACCCTAAGGTTACTAATAGCGGCTTAACCTCCATCTTGTTATATTGTAAAACTCTTTAAACGTAAGCTCATTTGTGGTTGACCACGTAGATCACCTAGGTCCTTGTACCTTCTAACTTTGAATCTCTTACTTTATTCCAAGATTCTTCTTCTCTCCCTTTAGCCATCAACTGAATGGTCATCTCCTCAATACTTTTTGTTTAACCCTAAAACCTCACACTACTGCTCTTACTTTCTATATGCCTTAAAGGCATCATTTGCATCTTTCTCTAGCTTGCTAACAACTTTATGACTCCCTTCAAGAGTCATGACCTTTCCTTTGGCTTACTAGTTCACTCTTGGCGCCTAACTTAGCACTTCCTTATCGCCGCCTGAATTTGAAACTCTCGTACTATCCATTATGCTACTCTTAGACCCCTAGCTAAAATTCCTCTTACGGTTTCCCCATCCAATAGAGTCTTACTTGAGAGATTGACACATTTCACCAGCATAGGCGATCTTGGTTTCACTTTGTGGTATTCTATCAGGTTCCCTAAACTTATAGCCCTCTTACTTCGTTACTCGTGACTCTTCTTCTTGATGTTCCTTTCTCGGTTTAGATGTCCCTTGTTCGCGACATAGTCCTCTAGGTTCCTATATCCTCTTCTCACTTATGTACTTTGGCCTATAAGGTTTACCCTTCCACTATTCTTGACGACCTTGATTCCACCTTAAAATTTGCTGAAATTTCTTGATGGACTCCCTATGGATAACTCGTTCTCCGTTGGTAGTCAACCTAATGCTTCCTGGTAGTCTTCTGTATTCCTGGTTCGACATTTCCTAACTATTTTCCTCCACGCACACTCCTTGAACTCGAGTCACTTACACATATTCCCACTCCTTTATCAAGAACTTCCATGTCCTTCCTTGACTTCCTACACTCTATGACATCTCTAATGCCACTTCACAGTTATGAGCTTACGGCTTCCCAAAGTCTAGTACTACTTCTAGATTTCTTGCCAATCATTAAGCAATTTTAAAGATAAATTCGCACAAAGAAACTTGCAAATCCCACCTGAGACTTGACCAATTGACTTATTGAAATCTCGTCAAACTTCCTCTAGTCTTCTTTCTCTTTCCTAGTATTGTATGCAAACTCTCTTTATTACGACCGTTGAGACTTCTCCTCGAATTCTCTAACATCTATTGGAACTTCCAATAAACGTTCTACTTCCTTGTCTATACTCGGTTGGTTGAATGACTTACTCCTGCAGCTGGTTCCGAGACTCCAGCTCTTAGCCCTCTAGTTCCAACTTATTACAGAGGTTCCTCCTTCTGTCACCCTAATAGACCGTCATTTACACATGTTTTTACCCTCAT